GTTAATTGTTAAGGAATATAATGTTCTCATTTTGGTTTTCATTTGAGGCTAAGTACAACATAAAAAATAAGGTTACATATTTTAAGAATTTTGACTCAACTATATATGATTTTATTTCAAACTCAGTAACAATAATATGACAATCAATCATGTTTATAATGCAGATCTAGTTTGTTTTTGAAAAAGGAAGCTTACTATAAACCTCTTCTATCTACCCGATTTAAGAGATATTAATTTTAATATTTAGAAGCAGGGAAGGTTTTAGAGATCAAGCATCTGCATTATCACAAAAGCTGTACGTTTCAGAAAGTCTGTTAATAGGAACGTGACAGTGTCTAGTATCAACCTAAGTGATGAAAAAAGAATAGTTCAGTATGGGAAGTTATCAGGGATGTTGGATTCTCTTTCCCTATGGGTTTTTCATAAAAGATGATTATATTGACTGTAATAATGGTATGTAATTGTACCAATTTTGATTCCTGTGTTGAGTGACAGATTTCCGCAGTTCTATGCAAATATAAATGTCTCACTGCCATTGCCTGTTTGGTTCCTTTTCTCAATTTTTTCTCTCTTAAAATATTATATAAAATTACCATTTAATATTGTCCTGTGGCAGATCTAGGATGGGAGGGTGGGTGCAAAAGGGGAACTTGCATCCAGCATTAGGAAAAACTTCTTAATCTAGCGTTAATTTTAGATTGTGAGAATGAAATGGCTAAAACTGTGGAGGTTCCATGCATCCCTTTTGAATCCCACAATAGGGAAGGAAACACCCCCAAATTCTGCTCTTCAGACCATAAGTTTTTGATTGGCATTTCGTATCCCCTATACACTAGAAAGAAATCATAGATTCTTCCCCACCTTCAAATTAAATTTTACCAGTTACATAAAATGTGAGTCTACCATCAACTTCAGTTGATATTTGTTTCCTAAAAACCACTAGCGCAATACTTTTTTATAGCATCAGTCCTACATCTTGATTACCGGTACTTGAAAAATAAATTTCTATTTATCTATGGCTTCAGTTAAAATTAATGGGCACCAATAACACAGCAATGTAACTAGTCGTTTCTTTATGGATATGTTACATTTTGTAAACTGTTTTGCCTACCTTTTTTGTCTAACAAAATGTATTTTTTCATAGCTTTTTATTGCCTCTTTAGGTAATATACACAATAACCTCAATCATTCCTTTGTAGATGTGATACTTGTGTTAATGTTAACAAAGTATAGTAGACACAAACAAGTTTATATTTCTGGCTTAAAGAATGCTACATTAATAGGCCTACTGTTTAAACTTGTTAATACTTTTTTGTTTTCATAATCTTGTTTTTCCCTACCTCTTTTAATACTTGCCTAAGTAATGCACTGTTCATAATTTTTAACTTCTCTTATGGCTTATTTTTGGCTTAATTTTTCTTTGTAGATAAACATTAATAATACTGTATATGAAAGCATTAACAACATGTCCTTTTTGAATGTGGTATTAAGCCTTGTATTATTTAGTATTTGTTTGTTTTCATAAGTTTTTCTTTTCTGTACCACTTCAATACTTGTCCGACTTATGTAACATTCAAACTTTTTTATCTCCTCTTCATGGATATTTTTGTAATTGTTCATGTAGATAAACATTAATAATACATAATAACTTCACAATCCTGTGTTAGTGAATGTGGTAATATAGGCCTATGAAGTCTTAGTATTTCTTTGTATTCATAAGCTTGTTTTCACTACATTCTTGAATATTTGTCCGACTTTTATGTTCTGTTCATAATTTTTTACCTCCTTCAGGGATTTATTTGTAATTATATGCAGATAAGAATTAATACTTAATAACTGAACAATGTTTCAATTGTGAATGTGGTAATAATTCATCGTATTTATTTATTTTCTTAAGCTTTTTTTTTTTTTACTTTTTCTACTCTTGATCTTGTCTTCAATCTAAACCTAAATATCTATCTCTATACCTGCTCTAAATATTTCCATTATAGCATCCTACTCTACTATAGTTTTGTGATTACAGAATTCTTATACATAAGCCAACATTTCACAGACTATATTAACAAGTCAAATAGTCCTTGCTATTTTTGTTTGTTTTATTTTTCCTGTGCATATTAGTCTATCAGTTTTTAAAATTCTTTATTGAGTTGAAAGGAACTTAGTAGAAAAATGGAAAATGACAACACAAAGTAAAAGTAACTGCGAATCTACCTAGATAAAATTAGGAGTATGGTGCATTTTTCCAAGATCTTTAATGTAAACAATTACCTGTACTACATCATTACATTTCCTGTACTTGCCGCTGTTTATTACCAAGTTGGACTTGTTCTAATTGATGTCAAGGTAATGTCTGGTTGCCATAATGGAATTAATTTTATTTGGAACATGTAATGCTTTAGCTTAGATTAACAGTTAAAATTTATAATATTCAAATTTTGAATCTGCTGGTATTTTTTATATTTAATAAAAAATGTTATGCCTACCATTTGTTTATTTTGGGTATACTCTTATACCCAAAAAATATACCTAATAAAACCCATAAATTTTAACATTTTATGTGTGTGTGTGTGTGCGTGTATGTATATATATATATATATATATATATATATATATATATATGTATATATGTATATGTGGGTGTATAGACTAGTATATGTGGGTGTATAGACTAGTATATGACTCAAGAACATCAGGAGGATAGTGCTTTGCAGACTACAAAACAAATTTATATAAAAGTATGAAACAAGCAATCACATTTTTTCTTTTAATATCGGTATGTATAATATTATATACCTCATACAGATTCTAGCCATCTGATTGGTTAAGAAGCAAGCGATAGAAAGTACTATACCTCTGAGAAAGTGCTATTCCCCTGGAAAATAGTATTTTTTGCCCTGTCGTTTGGTGCAAACTCTAGGCCCACCATCCCACTGATGCTAGAGGGGACTGCGACCTCTATGACAAATGAGATTGGCCCTTGACCGCACCACGGACCAGTGAGTAGACAATAAACAATAATTATGGAGGCTGTCAGTTCGAGCTCCAGGTTGAAGGACTAGCCTAGGCTTGATGAAGCCGATAGCAAAAACACCAAAAGACAAATTGAATATGCCTTGCAAATGTTTGACAAATATTGCATGAAGATGGGTGCTATTGAAATTGAGTAAATGAGCAAAGAAGAGCTAGACACACTCTTTGATCGCTTAGGCCCTATTTAGTAGGCCTCTAGGCTAAACTAGGAAGTAAGTACTTTTTTAGGCCTCGTAGAATCTATGTATGAGGCATATAAAGCAAATATTGACTGCTGTAGATTCGGGGAACGGTGAAATCTATTGCCCCTCGATGATGGGAGACAGTAGCCTATCTTCCCTTGGGCCTTTGGGAAGATGGTTACGATCTCCACATCATCAAGGGGCAATAGATTTTACCATCCTCCTCATGAGCAGTCAATATTAGTATACTATGGAACAGTAATAAATATTTTGATACATATCATTTTGACTTTTGACTCACTATAATGTTTTCCAATGAATATTTCGATGACTACTGTACTCTGTCAACATGATATAAAAAAATTATATAAATCGTGGTACAATATACAGATAAATTGTTAACCGTATTGTGGTAATGCTGCTGTTACATAGAAATTGCTTTTACAGTAAAAGAACATCAAATGAAGATTAGAAAAACAAAAATAAAAATATCAACACCTTACATAACAATGGTACAGCCATATATTGTGTATTCTTTGATTGTTACTGTTAAGATATTAAAGTAACCACTCTCATTACTTATAATTCGTTTTTTAGTGGCATTTGTTAATTGCTCAATTAGACTTGCTTTGCTGTTTTTTTGGGTTTTTTTTGTTTTTTTTTTTAGCTTTGGCAAATAATGAACAAGTTCGAATCAAGGATGATATGGACGAGCCCTCACCCCCCCCCCCCCCCAAAAAAAATAATTTTTTTTTTTTAAATGAAGGGAGAGAGGATAGAATCATATAGCCCCCACCTAAACAGTTCACGCGAGTGAGAAATGTTAAGATAGGAAATGAAATTGCATTTTGTAGCCATTACATGATTTTAGGAACAAGTTTGGTAGGTTCAATCATTGGCTAAAATTTTACACTTGTAGTTTGCTATAAATTATCAGTTAAAACCTGATACTGAGAAGTGACTGACAGAACACATCATAAATATTATATTGTTACTGGGGACTCATGATCCAGCTAGATTAGTTAAATGTTCAAACAATTTAATTAGGTTTTATGGATTAAAACAATAAATTCATTGACTGACATCAATAACGATTGGTGATAAACCTTTTATAGTCGGATGTGAAGCATTTTTGTTCTGGTCTTTAGGAAATTATTTTTTTCATTTTATTCAGGATATTCTAATTAATCTTGCAAAAAGTGTTCTTAATGGTAGTTAATAATAGGCCCTATATATTATTTTTTTTATTGTATAATGAGGCATTTTGATAAATGACCATGATTTATAGTTTTCGGTCATAATTAAAATTAATACGCACATTTTTACTTCTGTCTACTCATGCGTCAAGTGGCTATTATAGGCAGATTTCCACTGAACGTGATATATATTTGTTTGACTGTACCGCATTTACTATAGCTTCAGTAGACTGCTAAACAAACAGCAAAATAACATTATATTAATTTTGATTTGTGGATAATACTGTAGGTTGGCAGTTTTTGTTTTTGACCGAGATTGTTGTGCGAACTCCCAATGGTATTGTTAAATAGATCTGCTTGGTTGTGTATATATACTGAAAATGATGCAAACTCCATCAGGTTGTGCACAATTTCTTTTATGCTGACATTAATCATAGTCATTTGTCTGTCTAAGCTGCAACTTAGCACCTCAAGGCTGACATTGTAGCTAATGTGTATACAACATAAATCAGCATAATCTCTTTCATTGTGGGTAGCAAACCCATCAGCATAATGATACTCCCTCAGGATAGGGTAGCCTGAAGCCTGCCTGCAGTATCGCTATTTCTCCTGCCTGCTCTACTCGCCACGACTCTTTTCGCGTGTGAACTGCAGCCTAGGAATTTCTCATTTGAATGTCTCTCTTCAGGTAGGCTTAGATATTTGTGTTTGAGTTTTGAATAGATACATTTGGGTTCGTTGACATTATTGTCACATGACCTACTTGTGCCAGAAACAAATGTAATTGGAGAAATTAGATTACGAGGTGTGCGCTCCTGAAAAAAACATTAAGTATTAATTACTATATAAATTCAGGCCATGTTCAGTTTAATAGAGTGGCCTGTGTTAATGTAGATCATGCTTTCGCTTCGGAGAATAGATACCTTAGACCAAGGTACTCTATTTTAAAGTAATGTACAAACATTATTGACTTGCAGCATAATTTGTTCACATTAATGTCATGCTGTTTGATAATTTCCAACGGTTACATTTAATGAGGTCATGTGCTGTATCATCGTCAATTACAGAATTCAACGTGTTTACCTCCTAATAGTCTTTTATGTGCACCATTCTGTCGGTGTAAATTTCATAAGTTTTACTATTTCAATTTAGTTTATATTTCTTTTTATTCTTTTTTACCTGTAATCGTGTATTTTCGCTTTTTAATGTACTTTTAATGTCTCCCACCAGGGAAATGTAAATAATGTGCAATTTAGATCCATCTACAATACATTATACTGCCTTCTGTTTCCCCGTTATTTATTTATTCATTTACTCATTTATTTTTTATTTATTGTAATATTGTAGTTTTTATGATATAATCTTAATTTTAACTTTTCTGCTTGTAAATTTTTTATGTTGAATATTGAATATTGAATAAATCCATGAATGTTAATTTGTGTTGGATATTAAGCAAGTAAAAATCATATGCAAATATCAGTGTTATTTGCTAGACGGATTTGAAAATCATCTTGCAACACATTGATAATCAACGTTATTTCTTTGAAAATTTCTGCGTTGTTGTGAAGCAGAATCTTATAGTCATAATATGCCAATTCGTGGCTTGAACTGCGCATTCGCGTGTCCAATAATATCCATGGTCAATCAACATAAACTTATGTTGTATGTATGTGATTATGTCGACTGACCTTAATGCGAGCATGCGTAGTTCAAACTACAAATTGCCTTATTAAATAGATTGACTGATAGGTCATTAGTATTTAGCTGCATTTTGCGTGCGCGTAGTAATTGATTTTCAAACTAGTTCCTTGATTGTCAATTTCCAGGTCTCATCACAGATATCTAATAATTGTTGCAAAGTGTGTTAGGGCCATTATATCGTGTATTTTCATTAATCTATTGTGTTATGCAATGATTTGTTGTTGAAAATGTTGTCTATGCCTAAAGGTGAGGCTGATTTGGGGTATGAATCATGCTGGTTAGAGTGGAGGCTAATGTGGTGCATGATATGATGTTTGAGATAGGTGGCATTTCATGCTAAAATTAGGTCAAACATTTTGTACGACTAACAATCAATTGTTGCAGTATAATTCCTTTATTGTTAGAATGTGTAATCAGGAATTAGTCTCTACATCAGTTTAAATTAGTTTAAATTTGGCATGTATTTGGTGTCAGATGCAAATTTTATTCACTTTTTATCCATATTCTGTATGCCAATTATATTAAATCACAAATTTGAATTATGTAATATATTTTAATGTAATTTGTTTTATATAATAAATTTGTTAACTCTGTTACAAAACTCTTTTAATCTTGCTATATTGTTATTTTTAATATATATATAATTTTTTTTTTTATTCGAACATGCTAAGTAAGTGGAAAACTAAAATTATTTGAGAATCTTAAAACTTAACCTACTTATTTATATCTATGAATAGAGTGAAGGTTGCTATAGAAGGCCAGGCAAATATGATGAGGGGAATAGGAAAGAGAGGGCCCAGGCAAGTAAAAAACTGTGTTAGAGGTTAAGGCCCAAGGGTTTAAAGGATATCATTCATTGCAACTGACATCATAGATAAATAATACTATGTAGAAAAAATACCCATGACCTAGTTCTCTTATTTCCATACTTGATTGAAAAAAAAAATAACGTTAACAAATTCTTTGTAAACTGATTCAGCCTGAAAATTTAAATCTGAAGTTGGCAAATGCTGGTAAGAATCTTTCATTGTGAGCATGGTATGCCGGATTAAGCGTTTGCTTTGTTGTTGCATAGAGTATCCAGAGGGAAAAAAATTGGGTAATACAAGGGGTGATTGCCATTGTTGATCGACTTTAAGCTTGACTTATCTTGCGTTCTTTTTCATGCTAACAGCAGTGGGGAGTAGCTGCTGATTGTGTAATTCGCTTGGCTTCAGTCTTTCTCAGTAGATTACTTGAAGTCTATCAAGCCCCTGTTTACCTTGTATATTTATTTATTTATTTATTTATTCTGCCTTTAACGTGATAACACTTTCAGTGACGCAGCACTGATCTCACTAGTGGATCACATGAACAAAAAAGTAGAACAAAAACAAACATAAAAAAAAAATATACAGAAACTTAACTAAAATAAAAAAGAACCAATTCAAATGAATTAAAAAGAAGGCAAGAGAACAGAGGGTGGTCAGAAAGATATAATTAGTTTTCTGTTTTTATCAAAGTTTTGAAATTGTTAAGTTGGAGATCATTTAATTCTATTTTAATTTGGTTTGGAAGTTCATTCCAAGCCTTAGTTGCACGGTATAAGAATGTTCTCTTGCCTTGAGTGAGTTTCCATTTTATCTCCATCAAGGTGTTGTTAGATTTATTCCTAGTGCACTGAGAGTGGCTATTTTGATTAAAAATGAATATATTCATGATCGAATTGTTGTCATATATATTCTTGATCGAATTGTTGTCGTAGGTGCCAAAAGTAGGGCCATAGGCCTATATAATATTTGGTGGATTTAAGCCCTTGCATTCATTCGATTTAGCTTCTTCATGCTGACAATATAATTGTTTATAAGGTAGAACGTAGTTTATTGAAAATTTAACTGCCATTTGTGTCTGTTTCACTATAGAAAGACCTATATATTGGTTCTTTTGATTGCTTTTACAGCAGTTCCTAAATTTGTGTACATATTTAATTCGTCTCTTCTAATTAAAGAATTACTTAATTTATTTAATTTAATTAATAACAGCTGGTTGTATTTTCGAAATGATTGTAAATGAAATTGTGTAGTGTAACCTATCAATTTGTAATAATTTTAAAAACATAATTGTATCTACTTGTTGCAGTATAACAGCGAAGTAAAGTACTTGTAGATCAGGGGTTGAACAGAATGGGCCAGCCAATCAATGAATGTTTAATTAAAGTATTGTAGAAATGTGGAGTATTGATGGGCGTGAGTTGATGAATTGTGTATATCTGAATTTGCAATGGCAAGTTATTGAGTATATTATCGTAACACAATTACAGTGAATGAAACCAGATATGAGGTGACCCAAAATCAACATGAAACAAGTTTTTAGAATGTTATTGATAGAGTTCGCTTCATCGCATTTCCAAACACTGACACCGCGTCCACAATTGACAGCAGTAGGAATTCATTTCTTGATTATTATCGATCGGTTTCAAATTACGATTGTTTCTTTTTCCTGCATTTATGCCCACTTGTATGCAAACAATACATGATGAAAGTCATACAACCTAGAACCTTTTGTGGCCGATTTTTGTCTGCATTGACCGGCGAGAAATCATAGTTCGGTGACTCAACCACATAAGCTTCTGAACACGAGTGTTCGTTTAAAGATTAAAACAGTTAATTAGTTGGTGTCCTATTAGAAATGTCGATAAAGACCACAACGAAATCGTTAGTCGCCCCTACCATTTGTTGTTTAAAAAAACACATTTATTATTACCATAAAGGTCGCATTGACGCGCCATCCAAATTGACTGATATATAGTCTGGGTAAGTTTATTGACACGAGGATAAAGATGGTTATTCTTGCCTTTGATTCTCTTAAAATTAATTTCAACATATTTTCTTTATTATTTCATGAGCTCTCTTAGCTTACCATGAAAGATCTAAAAAAAAATTAACTGCAATTTTGATATAGATCTTGTACTTTATATATTTATTTTGGAAACATTTCCGGTTTTGTCAATGTATGTATTTTTCTTGTACTGTAGTTCAGCTTGTTCGCTTTTTTGTTGTAAATTAAAAAAAATTGTTTTGTCATCAGTTTGATGACCAAAAAAGTATTAATTTAAATATGCAAATAATTTTAACTAATAACAGAAACTTGAACCATATGCCTAATAGGTACTCAAATAAATTCAGAGTTTTGCATTTTTATTGATGTGACAATAAATTATGTCTACATCTATATCTAATATTTTGTGCTTACAGTTTGTTCTATACAGTGCCTTTTAAAATATTCTCAGCATGTATCAGATATATCATAAGAAAATGCCGCATCCCGTAATAACTCGGTCGTTTGCATAGGTCAGACGACTAATTTCTGTACTTCAAAATTTGTTTCCAATTTTTGCATGATTAATAATAAATAATAATATGTCGGTATTTATATAGTGCTGATTGACACTAAAATTACAATTTTAATTAGTATTTCACTTTTAGCGTACTACATATATATCGGATTCTACACATCATTACATCTGAAATATGTATTTAGGACATAGCTTGGCTTGGCAAATGCGGGTCGCTGAAAGTTTTCAAATTGAGTCAACTCTGTGGACTTGTGCACTTAGCCTTACGAAATACTGTTGCGTTATATTATCGTCCGTAATTAGTGTATTATTACGCCGACATACTCTTATGTTATGTGATCATCTATAATCGGTATGTTATTACGCCAACAAAAAATAATGCGTGGTTGGCATTTACACACGTAATCTCTCGTCCATTAGCAGGCTACCCTTAGTCTGTATAAGTCGTGGTCATTAGCAGAGATATTCATTATAAATTGGGGTTGGCCACACTGTAAATAAACTATTTTATAAAGCAAGATTCTTGAGAATATATTCAAATAAATTTTATTTAATATTTTAATAATGAAAATAGTATGAATAGAGAAGAGTGTAATAATAATTAACAACAGATCATAAAATTATTGTAAAATGTATAAAACATAAATTGCACT